ATTGATTATATTGGACCACCCAAATCCTCTGCAGGATATCAATATATCCTCACAGGAGTAGAAGTGGTTTCAGGCCTGCTTATGGCAAATAAATGTCAGAAAGTCAATGGTCAAAATGCAATATGAGGATTATCATATTGATTTTCAATTCTGCCTACTCCTGATGTCATCCAAAGTGACCTTAACCATACACACCACCATACACCCAATCACTGCATTAGGATTAAATCACAATGGAGCTGTACTCTATCCACTGGAGCATAGAGTATGGCCCCAACAAAATGGAAACAAATGGCAAACTGTTGATGTTAACGCATGCATTATATGAGAACAAGGATTTATTTGTGAGAGAAATACCATCAAAGCACAAGACTTTTGTCTGGACACTAAAGAAAATGTTTGTCACTTTGAAATGTACCCCAATGAGTCCCCTAAAACTGTACTTGTACGTGTTGGTAAAGGATGTGTTTGTATGAGAACTCTTTGTGATTTTATATACATAGATAATATTACTGTGGATACAAGTAATCACACAATTATTTGTGTTTGTAACTTTACTAAAATGACAGGATGTGACTTTACTTTTCAGCCCCTGTCATATCTTATCAATTATTACAATCCAATTATACTTTGAGTCAAGATTTACTACCTATCCCTATCGGAATGAATCTTACATTGGTGAAGAAACTAATGCAACAGGGTGAACTGTGTCAACTGTTAGAATGCGCCCGAGACACTGGACACAAAACTTTAATCACCGTTTATCCTGATGCAGAAGAGATACACCACGTCTTGGAGAGAGTGAAGAAGGATGGAGAACATCACTGGTGGGAAACACTTTTTGGATGGTCGCCAATGGCAACGGGACTGTTTAATTTCATGATTCACCCAGCTGTGATTCTGCTGTCTCTAACTTTAATATGTCTATTGCTTGTAATTATACTGTTTATAAAGATTTGGTACATGATCAAGCAAATAGCCCAACTCCAACCACTGAAAACATACAATACTCCACTATCTACCTACCATGGATCTGTAACTGCATAAATTATCAATGTACTATTGATGGCACAGAGGGAAGAGGTGACCATACCACCACTTTGTGAGAAAAAGATGAACTGACTATAGTCATGGGGTGGAGTGTGACAGTGCATTTTACCCCTCATCAACAGGGCCCTTATCTGCAGTTATCTGCTTTGGTGCTAACGATGCATCTGGGGATGACAGTTGCATCTGGGTGTAAGGATCCCACTGGGCTAAGCCAGATTCAGGGGGAATCCATAATTATCCATAGCCATGGGCTAGCCTGAACAAGATGTTTGGGTATAAGGCAACCATCTTACCTCCATAAATAGCAGGCAGCCCATGAGCTCTTTGAGCTCTCCTGTGGGGCAGCTGGCTGCACTTTAGCAGGGATGCCTGATATTCCCCAGGGCTGACAGATTCCTTGCCACAGCAGATCATTGGAAAGTGCTATCTATCCATCCATCCATTCATTTATCACTTAAACTTTGAATCTTTGCTAAGGGTGCACTCAGTTTTAACTGTACCCATAATCCCCCATTTAGCTTGTCTTCTGTGTAGTAAATAATCAGGTGTACCTTGCCATCAAATTATTTTCCTTAAAGTTGCATTTACTGTTTCAGACTTTGCGGAAGGGCTGTCTGTTATCACTGAATACACTGTTCCTTCCCCTTCGTGAGTGAAGTGCAGAGCTCCCCTCCCCGACACTGCCCTTTGCTGGGCACACTCCAGCATCTCAACGTCCTTGTAGTGAGTGGCCCAAAACTGAACCCGCTACTCATGGTGTGGCCTCACCAGTGCTGAGTACAGAGGGATGATCTCTAGCCTAGTCCTCCTGGCCACACTTTATGAACCTGACCAGGATGCTGTTGGCATCTTGGCCACCTGGGCACACTGCTGGCTCCTATTTAGCCAGCTGTCAATCAGTACTACCAGGTCTTTTTCCACGGAGCAGCTTTCCAGTCACACTTCCCCAAGCCTGTGGTGCTGCGTGGGGTGGTTGTGATGCAGCTGTGGGACCCGGCACGTGGCCTTGCTCAGCCTCAGCTCATGGATCCGGACTGTCCAGGTCCCTCTGAAGAGCTTTTCCACCCTCAAGCAGACCAACACTCCTGCCCAGCTTGATGTCATCTGCAAACTTCCTGAGGGTGGCCTCGACCGTCTCAGGCAGATCGTTGGTACGAGGTGTTAGAACTGGCTCCAGCAGCGAGCCCGGGGGAACACCGCTTGTGACCAGCCACCACCTGGATCTAACTCCATTCATTCAGATGAAGTTCCCAATGAAAAAGTCATAGGGCAAGTTGCTTGCCCTTGCCTCACACTGCAAGTTCAAAGCAGATTTGGGATGATAAAGTTTACTCCTCTGGGCTGAGCAAACTTGTTGGGTAGCTAGAAGACAGCACAGGGAGGAAAAGACACTTGGGGGCCTAAGTCTTAGAGGCAGAAGCACAAATGAGAGTAGGCTCTTAAATGAATCTGCAGTGGGTATTCTCAGTGTCCCACAAACCTGTGGAATAGCGGTGCTGCTAGATTTTTCCAGGGAAAATACGAGTCCTACATGCCTGGTGCACAGTGGAGAGAATCACTGCAACAGCCTAGGCTATAAGCTCAATGACGTGAATTTGGTGTTGTTGACACTGAAACACTGGAAGTCGTTGCAAACATCAACTCAGGTTCTGACAGGTTGGATTACTGTGCTGGTTGTCCTGGAAGCAGCTGGTTTTTCCTGCTGTATCCTCAATTTCTACAGCTGTTAGTTCCCTGAAATGGGAAACTACTCCACACAAAACATGATGTCAGAAAAAACTGTGTTGTTTCATTTTTCAGTGTCACAGAACATGTTTTGCTGCCTGCTGTAGCTGTACAATACCCAGAATATTGTGGGAAAGCGAGAAATCTTGGCAGAGGCCACACATCATACCCAGTGTCTCAGAGCTGTGTCCCCTTGCTAGCTGGTGCCTTCATTTGCTGCTGCTTTTTGCTGTGGGCTGCCTCCACTGCTGCCCATGTATTTCTTTTGGACAAGGCTTTTATGTCAGTCCCTTGCTCATTTCAAAGCAGAATGCTAAGCTGGTGCTGCTCCTGCTGCCCCTCCTGCACCAGCAGCAGCATCTCTCCCTGGGTTGCTCTGCCAAGGCTTTGGGAGGCTTCTCACCAGCCCTGCTCCTACAAGCCAGACCCGGCCCACTCTCTAGACTAGCTGTGCCATCAAACATGAAGCAGAATTGCCCACCATAGGACCTCTACTGTGTTGATGCAGCTGTGGGTGTGGGGACAGGATAACTACAGTGATGCTGGGAAAAAAGGGCTATGGAAGGGTTTTATAATGTCCTGTTGCCATCCTTGGGGGACTGCACCAACCTTGGTTTGCCCTAGCTCTTTGGATCCAGTGGCTAACAAAAAAAAGAGCAAGGGTGCTTAGTGAACTGCAGACAAGAAGTGTATTCTGGTGCTGTTTAGTCCCAACACCGTTATGAGGAGTCCCAGCCATCGCCAGAGGTAGGATTACCTTCTGCTCCTCCCCTTGACTCAGCCAGGCCACCCTACTGATGCAACAAAGGCTCCTGCTGGTCACATTCCTACAGCTGATTGATGAGCCCCTTCAAGGGAAATGAAACTTGGAAAGATGGTTGGCCTGTACATGGTTTTATCCCTGCTCAGGCAAAGAAAGAAAACCTAGGTGAAAGGGAGCTACAGCTGAGGCACAAAGGCCAGTTGTCTTTATAAAATGAAACCTGTAACACTTAGAACAGCCACAGATATTTTCTGTGGCTGTTTTCAGATACTAGAGCTAAAACACATGTACTGTCCCTGTAGCAGCTATTTCCAGAAAGAAAAAAAACCTCCCTTCATGACACTTCTGCTTCAAAGCGGTATGAAAAGTATCATCAGCTCTGTCCCAGGGCAGATGGTGGAACAAGGCTAAACTACCACACTAAAGGTTAAATCCAGACCTGTCCTCTCAGCACATTTTCTGAAAAGTTTTTTTTCTAAGATTTTTCTGTGAATAGCTGTCTAAAAAGAAGGGGGTGGTGTCTTTAAACCAACATCTGGTCTAAGAAAAGACGCAATGAGCCATTTTGTAATTATATTGGAAATGCTTCATCTACAATAATTAGAACATTCATACAGAACTTTCAAGTCAGCTTAAAATAATGCACACAATACATTAATTTCAGAACATCCTATAGGCATCAGTTGGTTGTGTTCACCAACGGCAAGCTTCTCTCCTCTTCAAGGTTCATATATCCCCATCAACAAGGCTGGTGCTGCTTTCCATGACACACCACTGAGGAGTATCTGATTTTGGGACTGAGGGTGGAAGTCAAGCTCCACACACCAGCAGGCTGACAGATTCCAAACTGCAAGTGTGCAGATAAAGCCTGGGGGTTTTTTATTCATGCGTGGTAGTGAAGGAAGTTCCTGCAGCAGCCAAGCAACCACTGTCTCTACTCGCAGCATGGCCTGGGAGAGCAGCCAGGCAGCAGCCAGCCATGAGCCAAAGCAAGCTTCACATGGAGCTCCAGGGTCAGGACCAAAGCTGGCAGAGGAAAGGACTGTTTGACCTTAGGTGCAGAAGCTTCAAAGAGTTTGTGGAGCTGAAAAACCCGTGAAAACTGAGCACATCCTTGACAGCTTCACCCGCTACGTGGCTGCATTAGAGCCAGTTCCTATTTAACAAACACCAGTACAAGCCCAAAGTATTAACATGTTATCCTAACTGGTACATAAGTTAACTCTACCTTACCATGAGTTAAGTACTTGCACATACTTCATTAACAGTGTAAGATCTAGAATCCCTAAAAAGAACACCACAGAATCTTAGTTTAAGCCTGGGCCATTGCACACATACAGGAATTGCAAGGCTTGGAATAAAAAGCAAGCAGGTAAGGGTGTTTTCTTCACCAAGAGGCAGGAGTGATGTGCAATCAGGTTCATTTGAGCTTGCATCCTGGAGCTTTATACAAATTGTAAAGTCAGTTTAATTACTTAGTTTATTTCCTTACGCTTTTTAGAAACAACTATGGCTGGATAGAACAACAAATAGCAGGAAGTGAGGGTGTAGTCCTTCCCTCACCCACTAACGCATACAAAACAAACATCACAAGTTATCCACCGGCCCATTTACGAGGTCTGGCATTGAACACCACCCCTCGGGTGATGCTCATCATCTTCATAGACCTCTCCATTATAGTGGTGTTTTCTTTTCTGAGATGGATCAAAGTCTACTAAATCCACTTGCTCCATTTCCTCAGTTTCTTCTATTTCCTGCCTTGTGGGTAGCAGCTTTTCAAGTAAAGACAACTTATCTGAGGACAGGAATCCACTCTCTGGGAAGTTCACCTGAAATCAGCAAGAACTTGGGTTACTCAAGGTTGCCCAAAGTGGCTTTTTTTCCATCCCACCACAGGTCAAGTATTTGCCCAAGTTAGCTTTATCATCACAACTTACTTAAACCCAGTCCTCAAAAATAACTTAAGCCACTAGGCTATTTTTTAAAGCCTGGAAGAAGCTGGTTTCTATCTCTGGCAATTTAACCAAGTCTTTTTCCATTTCTTACACCTCAGACTGCTCTCTGAAATCACCCTGTAAGCTAAGTACAGGATATATCAACATTAGAGATATGGCTGAATCTCCTCCAAAACCACAGAAGACAGAACCTGCCACCACAACTCCCAGCACTGTTCCTTCCAGACTATTCCTCTACTGCAGCACAGGGGAAGTTACTAATCCATCCTCCCGACAGAAGGATACAAAACTAAAGAAAACATGCCAAGCAAACAGAAATTCATAAGGTATCTGCAGAGAATCTTCTGGTACTTAATGTATTTCTAGCACAGAGTGTTCCAGAAGTTCTGTTCTGAACTATAACTCTGATGGATTACATGTTCTCACCACTGCCAAAAACAAACATCAAACCAGGACATCTGATAAGTGGTATCTCTTCTTGACCGAGGTAATGTTTAGAGGTCAAACTCTGGATGGATATTCAGTGGTGAACTGTGCCATGGAAGCAGGCTGATGCACCTACCCTGAATTCTATGATCAGACGTCCCTTCTCATACGGTCTGCGATAGATCGGCATACCTTCATTCAGCACACACTTTATGTCCCCATGCTTGACAACCTGGCCTAGAAAAAAGAAAAGCCTAAAAAAGGAAGGAAAGGATCCTCCACGCAGGCAACAGAAGCAGCTTTAGTTTTAACTCCCTTCAGTATTTATGTAACCTTACTACATTGTGGTCGGACAGTTACACCAATAGGTAGAAGTCTAACAGGGACTGGCTGCCTGGTAAGTTCTGAGTAGGGAAGGAGGTTGATGTCCATGTTACATTATTGCAACTGTGTTATGCTTCCCAAGGGAAGCATACTTACAAATTTATTAAGTGCTCCATCACTTCCAAGGCTGAAAAAGTGGTTTTCAGAGACCCACGGCCTTCAATTCTCATGAGATATCCTCAGGATACAAGTATGTCTGTGAGGAAGGTCTGTTACTATATCACGCAAAAAGAAAGTTACTGCTGACTGCTATCCAAAAATCCTTTTTTTTTTCTTTAAAGATTTCTACTGTAAGGACTAGAAAAGAGGCTTGATACCAGTATACATCCCTTGTTCATCAAGATGGGATGTTTCTGTTCCTTTACATTTCCAGCTTACATTCACTGTACACTGGGACTTCTAGCAGAAAGCGATCCACACTTACCAGGATGGGAGGTGATAATAATAGTTCTGTTATCCAGCGTTGTGATCGGCTTTTGAAAGCCACAGAGAGCTTCCACCAGCTGAATATCCATAGACAAAAGGAGGTCTTCATCTCGTCTAAGGCACAACAAATGAAAAACAGAGAAGAAGCAGCAGAGGGATGACATCCCACTTGAATATGTAGCACAGCAGGGACAAGAAAGCTGTAATTTTAACAGCCTGTGCCTTCTCAGTCCTGGGGAAAAGTTACCTGTCAGCCTCCTGAACACTGCAACTGGGACAATTAATCCCTTCCTTTACACAGATGAATACTCTGAGTGCACCAGATAACTCTACATGGTTCTGTTACACTGTCATTCTGAGGATCTAGTACTAGGGAAGTTTGAACAGGTCATGTTCACTCTGGGTTATGATGAAAATACCATCTAGAAAGCATCAGGAACATCTGCAGAGATAATTTAATTGTTGTAATTGCCTGTTCTCACTTCAGTATGGCAGAGCTAGTGGTGTCTGCCTGCACTGCACATTCAAAGGCTATGAAATCCTCCAATCTGTTCAAAGAATTTAGTCATTTTGTTCCTCCTGTTTTAAAGATCTCCCTGGAAGAAGGCTTGCTTGAAAAGTTAATTTTAAACTCCAACAGGAGAGGGGGGGAAGATTCCACTTGTCCCAGAGCCGAATAACCCCACAGGACCAGTAACAGCAAGGGTCACCTAAGGACACTAGAACTGAAAGCAGTGGTCAGAACGATGGTCACACATACGCCCAGGGTCACGGCTCCAGGTCCCAGGTAACCCTGCTAACCGTTTGCCTCGGACTGACCCTCTGGCAGAGCTGATTTAGTATCTGGTTTCACTGGAAGTTAAGGGGGAAAAAAAATAAAAATGAGCTGAGTAAGCTTATCCAAAGCAAACAGAACTGATTCTTAACCCGTGAGCTCAGTGTCCTTTGGCACAGAGTTCTGGCACCAGCTTCCAGAGCTCAGCACCATACAGAAGTCGGGCAGACCAGCTGCTGGTTTCCCAGGACACTCTGGCTCACCATTCCTACTCACAAGTACAACGTCAGCAGCTGGAGCTGAGAGAGAATTGCTCTCTAGATTCACTGACTCCCTCATTGCTGCTCTTAACAGAAGGGAGTAATGAGACCAAGTGCAATGTATTTCTGCAAGATGACCAGTGTAACTGTCAAACATACTGGACAGACTCATTCCACAAACAGTAACTCCAAACAAGGAGGACTGCAACACCACAGAGTAAAGCAGCACCGTAACATGAAGTACTCCAGACGTGGTCAGTGCTGCCCTGGGTCACTTTTGCTTCTGCAGGGAACAACAGACAGGACTGATGACCCTGCCCAGGGAATGGAGGCAGCACACTGGGTGTGGGAAGCCACCTTTGGTCAGAAGGGCACGTGCTGTATTCAGTTTCACCACCATAAGTGAGATCCAAACTGGCACCAGACGGCTGCCTACACTAAACGGTACTCTTCCAAGGCAAGTGATGAAATGCTATCCTAGAACGAGCAAATATTCAAACCTGTTAAGCAAAATATCAGTATTTTAAGAGTGCCTAAAATTCAAGATCTGTAAACTCTTAATAAGCGTAACTGGTTTTGTTTGCCTTTCATGCTCTTCCGCTGTCAAAGCTCACGTAAGAGCATCTTGTGCCACTAGAACACAAGGGGCTGTGACCAGCTTAACAGGATTCTTGCACACCTCAGTGTTCCTTTGGCCACCCAAACTCCCATCTGAGTTCTAGCCACACCATTCTATCTCCTGGTGTTTTCAGTAGACAAAAGGAGAATGTCAGGCATGCAAGGAAACATGTGGACAGGCATCTCAGGAGTTAACACAAAGGACTTCTGGAGTTATTACCTTGTAAACACAGAGTGGTCTTTTTGATCCAAGACAATAATAATGTCCCCTGGCTCTAATCCTGGCTCTTGGTCCCCTTCACCATGGAATGTTATTTTCTGACCATCCTTCATTCCTATTGGATAAAAAGACATTCTTCATCTTTTTAAGTGAAAAGCAGCAAAGAAAAACATTTTTACAGACCCAAGGTGGTACCAGGAGATGTTTGGATCTTTCACTTAGAACATCAGGGCCTTCCTGTGAAATTTTTTTTTTTTTTTTTTTTTAATTCACTCACATGTCCAACAGATCTTAGTGGTGCCAAACCTGAACTATGTCTCAAGATCATTAAGCTTAATTGCAGTGCAACACAACCACCTGCCACAATAAAGTCCTTAAGGGCAACATTATCAAACCACCTCATTATACACACAAGTACTGAAAACAGCAGCACTGTGTACAAAGAACATTTTCAGAGGAAGTGACGGATCAGCCTCGTGAGTTGTATAAACGTGTGGCAGAGCTACTTATGTGATCTCAGTGGCTGCTGAGTGCAAGAAGCACTCTCCCCTAGGACTGTAGCTGTCACAGAGGAAATCTCCTTCACCCACACAAAAGCTTCTCCACCATAAATTCTATTTGCCTCATTCTAGCTTACTGTCTGTTCTATGAGAAAGGGAGAAAAAATTCTCAGCAGTCTCCCTGTTTCAAAATCCTGTAACCCATCCCTGCTAGCCCTCACATTTAGCATTACTATAGGGTCTTCCCTGCTAAAAACAAACCCAGACATTACATTGTGTAAGGTGTGCTCACACACGCCACAGCTGCAGG